GCTGCATCTGGTGCTTCGAGAGACTTCGGCGTGTTTAGGTACCAGCCGAGAGAGGAGAGCCTTGTAATTTATTCCTTTGCATTGCTTCTAGTTTTCAAGCCGAGGAAGCTCATCAAGTTCCTCAACAAGACGCTTGACACGCTCGCATCATGTTTCTGCTGTGTTCTGTCTGGCGCTTGGCGCTCGAAGGAACGCCTACATCCAGATTGCCTTGAAGGGCACGAACTTCTGTACTTCTGCCGCTGAGATGGCAAGGAAAGCAAAAGCTGACATACGGTTGATGATAGAGTCCTGCATGACCTTAAGGACCCTANNAAACTATGGGAATTATGGCATATCCCTTAGTATGGGTAATGCTGGATTTATACCATCAACCGCATCACGACATTGCAAGATGGGCGGCAGGCCAGGAAGGCCTTCGAGCTGATCTTGCGGAACATCATCCGTTTCGGTGCCCTCTCGATGCTGGGGGCGCTGATTCGCGGTGTAGGCCGCCGTGGCCGCGTCCCGCGCTCAGAGGGCACCCCACTCCTGGACCTTGAAAGCAGGAACGGCTTTCACGTGCACGGCAACGGCAATCACAGGAGCCTTGGCCAAAAACCGACCATGCTAACGGCCATGCTGCAGGATGCTCTGCTTACAGCTTGTTTTCGTGTTTCATCTCCGACACAGCCGAAGCCATACGTGCATGCATACATGTATGCATTCACACACACATATGTATGTATATATATATATATTTATTTATTTATATTTATATTTTTATATGTGTGTATATATATATGTGTATGCATGTATGTCTGTCTTTGGGTGTCCAGCCAAGGATATTTCGTGATGCAGGCATTTTATCCTGAGATCAGTGCTGCCCTGAGCGAAGATGACAGCCGCCTGCCTCTGGTCTCGGCTGCAAAAGAACTCAGGTCCGATCCTGAACATCCTCACGTACGTCCTTCTGGGTTTCGTCACGGGCCGACTCTTCCTGAACCTGAACTCGCTCAGCTGCGACACCATCATGCAGTGCTACATCATCTCAGAGGCAAGAGTGATGAGGTCCAGGCATCTTCATGTGCACCACCTCCCAAATCCGAGTCTTGTCAGGAGGCGGAGATGAAGGACCGCTCAGAATTTGTCCCGGCAGAGCTGAAAGCTTTAATGAAGGATCAGGACTTGAAACACAGCCCCTCGGCATGGGAAGCTGGGATGCTGGAAGAACGTAGTTGGCGATTGACGATTCAATCTTTCGTTTATGGCAGACCTTTGGGGCCAGCATTTGAGCAGGCTGTTGCAGTGCTTAGCTGCATGTCTGGTAAGGTGCTGACCATGGAAGCTGCTGCTTGCCATGCTGCTGACTGGAGGCTCCACTCCTCACTCCCACACTCACTCGTCAGTCGGCAGGAGGTGGAGACACTAGACGGTTGGCCTTCACTTCGTTTGGTTTGGTCGTTTCATGGGCGTTTCGGTCCCCAGACCGTGCTGCAGAGCCTTGGCAGAGGAAACAGTTCGATACTATGGCAACACCAGATTTACTGGGTTCCGGGGCGCGGGCGAGGCACATGAACGTGCTGGCACGCAAGGCCGGCGAATTGGACTGCATGCGCATGCTTGTTTTTTTTGTTTCTGGGCCTCGTCTGGCGGCTGTATCTTTGATCATTGTTAAATTCAGCAGGATATAGGCGTGTCATGGTACTCGAAGTTGGTGTTTCCCTGCCTTCCTCGCCGTCAAAAGGTTGGGGCCTTAATATCTGCAAGGAATTCGAGTTGAGTACAGAGGATACTCGGATCCATGCTCGGGGACTCGGCATTTTGCCGATCGAGCCACGTGCGTTTAAAGGGAGGCGTCTGCTGCTTTTGTTTGCACGTCTTGCAGCACGTTGCACGGGTGCCTCCGACAGTGCTGACCAGCGCTGAGCACTGGAATCGGACACGTGGTATTATTCATTCCGTGTCAGCCTAGCAGTCAGTGTCATAGTGTGTATCTGCAGTGCACGGGCATCCCAGCGGAGCCTGATAGAACCATTCCAGCTGGCACAAATAATCACATTCCCCGTTGGATTTGCGCTCGATGGCACATGAGCGCGGAGAGCAAGCGCAGGCGCACTGGCGAGACCTGCGCTTGGCCGCTTCAAGAGGCCCGGCAGCCGGAGCAGCGCAAAGGCTTTCCAGGTGATGGCCTGGAGCCGCTGGTGGAGGTTGCGCCGGGAAACATCGCAGAAAGGGCCGTCCCGAAGCCACTGCCGATGCCGCTCCCACCGCCGCCTCCGCTTCTGCCGATTCTGCCACGGCCTGCCTTTTCGCGGCTGCAGCCTGGCGTCCCTGTGGCCACTTCGGAGGGGCCCCAACTGCGATTCTTGGGTTTGCAGCACTGCGCGAAGGCTTCCAGCAAGGCCCGGCCCTTGGTGCGCGGCCGCGGCTTCCAACGCTTTGGCTCCGAGAGCTACTTGCGCTCCTGGGACCTCAACGAGCCAGGACAGCGTCTCAACGAGCCGGATCCGTCTCCCAAGCTTACTCGGATCCTCCAATCGCTGGTTCCGTTCGAGTTAGCCGATCCCTTTTCGGAAGAGGCCTGCGCGATTTGCTACGAGTCCATGCAGGGAGAGCTGGTGAGGCGGCTGCCTTGTATGCACGTCTTTCACGCCAGCTGCATCGCTCGCTGGCTCAGTGTGAGGATGTGTTGTCCACTGGACAAGTGCGAGGTCGAGCCTTCCTTGCAGGCAAGACCCGAGCTACCACGCGGAACCGTGCAATCTGCGGAAGAGGAGGTGCCTTCTTCGGATTCCTCGCCCCTCTACCAGCCCAGCCCATCAAGTTCGCCATCGTCAAACGAGGAAGATGTCGAGGAAGCTGCCAGTACGCCTGTCGTGACAGGAACGGAGCCGCTTCTGCTTGTAGAATGACCCCAGGAGGCCACCCTCTGGCGGAAGTTTCACCCGACAAAAAACTTGCTGCGCCATGCTGCGCCAGAGTGCCATCAGAAGCTACAAGTATATGGGTCCTTCTCTAAATTAGGGTCCCCTTGTTAGGTCCCAATATAGACAATAGAGAACTACCTGTATGGGAAGCTGTTCGAGTTTCCTCTCAGTTCTGTCGAGGCACGTGGTGTCCGAGTCCGAGTGCCGGAGCCGCCTTGCCGACAGGCCCACGTCATGCGACGTAATGCGATGCTGTCATAGTGGACCTTGGGCATCAGGTTCGGGTGCAGAAGGGATTCAAAAGTCGCCAAGGCGACGGCAAGAGGTTTCGTGCCGAGCCATCGAAGGTTGGCTTTCAACTTCTGCAAGTTTTGGCCGTTTGGTTCCCGGAACTTTTCAGTTCAACCTTTCGGATTTTGGGCATGTAGCCCGGGGGCACTCAACAGTGAATGAGTCCAATTACTAATTACTGGTAAGTCGACTGAGTAGATCGCTAAATCGTCGGGATTCAACAGAGATACGGCATCAACCTTGTACTGGCACGGTGTGTCCTCTGAAATCGTTCATGTCGAAAGAGCACCGCCGGGGGTTTAAGAATCTTGATGTCTGATGGAAGATCAGCAGCGGGCGCATCCCGCCCGATCTGCTTGCTTTGGCTGTGAAGCCTGTTTCCTTTTAGGGCGGCAGCACCGCCAGCTGGAGCCTTAGCATGCCGCAACAGTTTCGTTGGGCGCGGATGCTGTGTTTTTCTGCGGGTGATTGAGGCCTTCTGACACTTCAAATCCTCTTTGCGCAGTGACAGGCGAATGCTTCCTTCCCATAAACAAACCGCCCTGACCCTGGGCCCATCTGCGCCCCGAGTCACAGAGCTCTGGGCTCTAGGGATGCTTGGTGTACACTTCCAGGGCGAACAACTCCCTGGTTTGAGATGCGCTCGAGCACTGCAATCGAGTCGACTTGCAAGCACTAGCACAAAAGACACATGACAGCCGGAGAGTATTTCTCCTTGCTACGACTCGGTGATGGCTTGAATTCGGAGCGGCTGCTTCTGAAGGCAAATTTCGCAGCTTGGGCTCCAGCACTGGCTGCCCCACGAAGCCGGGCGCGTGGCTGCACGCGCCGAGGAAGCTGGGCGCACACGAACATCTGCGGGTTGTTCACTCGTTGACGGGGGTGACGGGGGCTTCAACAGATGCGCAGGCCTAGACAATCACGCCGCACGTCCTAAGATTTGAGTATAGTGTTACTATATATACTATTATCCGTCACATCAACCGAAGGACTTCCGTCGGACCAGGCACCAAAACCAAGTACTTACGAACTCGCAGTTTCGCAGTGGACTTAAGACTTGAGCCATGGTGCCGCGAGCTCGTGGAGCCCAGGACCCGGGATCCTGTTGAGCCTCTGGCGGAGTCATGTTGCAAACTGGGGAAGGCGTAAAGAACATGTCGTGGGCCCTGAAAGAGAGACAGTGTGTTCGTAAGGGTGTGAGAGCGAGCAAGGGGGAGAATTCGCTACGGAGCGCGAGAACACCAGGACCAGTAAGTCAAGCAGGACGAACAGTTCATGCAGCAGCGGACAAGACGGCATCATGGCCTCACGAATGTACGTGCACAAGAGGTCCTTAGCTCATTAGCAAAGCAGTGACGGCATCGTGGAAGGCAGCAAGAGGCCTAAAAGGACATGTAGCACACAAGACTATAGTTAATGAGCAGGCAGCTGACCACAAGAAAACCCTTGCATGCGCCACTGCATGGTTGAGTAGAGAGCCCTTCGGACTTTATCGCCTTCCTGCGCTGGTGTCCAGAAGATGAATGTCTCGCAGCTTGCATGCAACGATAAACCCTAAACCCTAAACCCTAAACCACATATGCTCTTGGCTGGGCGTTCGAAGCTTTTTTGGACTTTCGAACCCAGGGAGCAATTCCGAGCGCATCGATCAGAAAGGCTGGCAGTGTTCGTTTTACCGTAGCTGTCAGCATCTTCACCAGTTTGCTTCACCAGAGGGCATCAATCTGACAATATCCGACAGGACCACGGTCTATGCTGTGGTGTGCTGGGCGGCGGTTTTCTGCGTGTACGCGCTGCCACTTGGCTACGACCCTATGGCTATGGCACGGACCGGTCATCTGATTCCAGTGCCCTGGTGCCCGGATCTTGCGTTGCTTGGAGGTGCGTGAAAGCAGCCATTGCCAAGCTCTCTCCTCCCATGAGCGAGGCAGCAAAGAGCAAAGGCAGCGGTGTCCGGTGTTCAGTATGGCGCATGAGCTCGGCGATTAGAAGAAGAGGTTGGGATGCAGGGGCCGATTCGAGGCACTTTGCGGGATCAGCTCTCGAAGGACATCGCTTCGTGCATCGTTGCCATCACGAGTCCTGGCTCCAGGAGTTGGCTTTTCGAGAGGAGGGTTATACTTACCATCGTTATGGTTTATATAGTTATTCTTCTGTTTGTTTGTTTGATTGTTATTATGGATGTTCTGGCACCAAGGACGCACACTTTCCTGGGCCCGATGGCTTTGTACCTTTCCATCAGCTACAATGCAGCAGGCAGCTCTCAGATAAATGGCTCTAAACGGGACTGACTATCTTGGGTTCCTTATTCTACTTATTGTATTGCAATTATAGGCCCCCCCAAACCCTATCCAATGATTAACCTTTGCGCTCCAGGGCGCTTGCTGCAGGATATCCGGCCTCACTCTCGCCCTTCTTGCTCGAGCAGCCGCGGCCCTTCGACGTGACACGGGAGCTTTGGTGCTGCCGAGTTGGCGAGATGTTCACCGGAAACATTTTGTACCAGCCACTGGGCAGCCCTCTGTGCTCGACTTTTTGTGGGATAGAGAACTTGTCTGGACTCGGCCAGCAGATTCTGAATCGCGAGCAGGTGGTCTGGTCTCACTCCAGTTGCATCCTGCCTGCGCTTAGGCTGATTTTCTGGCTCCTGCGCTGGGAAACCGGTATTGAGATGCTGCTGCACCACATAGGCTCCATGTAGACCCATCGGAGCATGAAGCCTTTTTTTCCATCGGCAATCACTACTCCCCTGCAGGCTTTTTCGTGGCCGGGTACTTGATTCTGGACTTAACTTGCTTCGGGAAGCTGGCCAGCGGAGCAATGTCGATGGAGGTCTCGAGCGTTTTTCTCAGTGTGCCGCTTGGGCTGGTGAAAAATCGGCCAGGGAAAAGAACGCATGCAATCTCCGGTTGCTGCTAGAAGTAGAAACAAAGCGAGGCACCTGATGACGCGCCAGATCGACGGGAAAAGATGTGCCCTGGTCTCTGACTTGGCGGCCGCGGTTTTCGTCCAGACCTCAGTTTGCTTGAAAGGCAGCCGACTTGGGTCCTATCCTTTGTTCAACAGAAGAGGCGCTGACCTTTCTGGGGATCCGCATCTTCTGGTACGGCTACGTGGTGGCAGCTGCTTGGGCTCCTTAGAGCCACTAACCTGTGTTGCGTCTGTGACGCCGACGGCGACGGCGACTGCTACGACAACGACGTATACAACATCAGCAGCAGCAGCACCACGACCGTCACGGCCGCTGCCACCACCACTACCACCCGCCACCGCCAGCGACAACCACAACGACAACGACAACAACAACCACCACAACCAGAACCAGAACCACAACCACAACAACAACCGCAACAACAACCACAGCCAGTACAACTACAACTTATTCTGTGAGCCGTACAGGATCGTGCAGTTAAACTTGTAAACTCTTCCCGGAACAGTCCTGCTGCTTGATACAGTCCTGCTGCTTGATACTGACACCTGGTGTCTGGTGTTAAGATGATGTTGAAGGTATGCTCTAGCGTAATGCCTTGGAATCAGATGAACCGGGACGATCTTGCATCTCATCACCTCGAAGGTTCGTGCGCTTCGCAACTGCGACAGCCTAGGAGTTCAACTACACCTGGTTCCTCGAGGCCGAGAAGTTTCCACCCAACATCTCAATGGTCAAGGCCTCCGCGGCCGCTCGCCCGCAGAGCGAGGTCCCGTGACCAGAACCCCATTCGCCGTGTCCTTTGCTAGTCTCCGGGCCCCGAAGGGCGGCACGGTCGCCTTCTCGGAAGGCAGAAGCACCCACAAGGCAAGAAGTTCACAACATGCACAACAGCTGCGAACCGGACATCACTAGGCACGGCAGTCGAATGAACCCCTTCTGCCCTTTTTCGCGGTTTGAATTGGCAAACTGCCCAAGCCATTCGCAAGGATTCATGGATCATGGATCACCCGCCTGTCTTGCCATCTTGCATGCTGAGCTCCAAACTTCATTATCACGCACCGAGCATGCAATGTCTGAGTAGTGCACTTGCATGGATTGCAGGTGGCACGGGGCATAAAGACCGCTCCATGTTGGTTTCAGAGACCGGGGTCCCAGCTGTCCGTTTGTGCTTTTCAGGCCCACCTGATTTTCACTTTGGGCTGGGTCCTGCAGCTCTATTGGTCCAAGCTCGCTCCTTGCCTGCCTCGAGATCGATCAGCAAGAGGTATAGCAGCTAGATGGGGGTCAAGGGTTCTGCCGTCGCATTCTTCTCTTCATCCTAAATCCCAAAAAGTACTGCGGCGAGATGTCCGTCATGCCAAGGTTGTGAGCAAAGTTTGGCGGGCAGCGCGGGCCATGATGGGCAAAGACTCTGCTTAGTCAGCCCCTCCTCATCGTTTCGTCCTGAAAGACGGAGAATCTGACAAAGCGGGTGCTAGGAGCACGAGTTAAAACAGAGGCGCCACTCATGTCACGCATGTGTTGCATCTTCAGTTTTCTGCGTTCGTCCGCCTGTGCCGAAGTCTTCTGCCAGAGCAAGGCCTGAGCCGAAGCCCAGAGCCCCTCGATGCGAGGAGCGCTTGATGGTGGGCCGTCCCCGAAAGGGGGCCTTCCGAGCTCTCGTCTTTCTGGTGCAACCCCCTTGTGTGGGCATTCAGCTTCCGGGCGGTGGATATTCGTGTTTGGCAGGCACTTGCGGTGCTCAGTGCAGCAGATGAGGCAGGGTCCTGAACAACTTGCAAGATTGCCTTTCCAACATCCCATACCGGGTTAGGCTTGCTCTTTACTACGCTCACAGCAAAGCACTCAAAGTCAAAAACAAAGAACGCCAGACGGGCAATTCTCCATCAGGCACAAAGAGCGAAAGTTTCCGTCTCTTGACGGATCACTTGCAAAGCGCCCCATGGAAGGGCATGCGGAAGGGAGAACATTGCGCGACTCAAAAACATGCCAACGCATCGAGGCAGGGAAAGCTGCGGAAGCATGGGCGGAGTCATGAACTTACATGAATGAGAACACTCAAACATGGCTTGAACGATGTTTCTGGTTTGTAACCCCCTGCTATCCTGTGTGCAGAAGACAGCTAGTTAACCGTAAACTTCCGAGCAAGAAGCTAGAGTGCATTATCAAGTGCCAAAACTGATCCTGTCTGTCCCTTTATTCGCGTCGGTAGGTGGCCGAGAATGCCACTCAGCCAGACAGGCGCTTCGGAGGGTGTTTTTGCAGATGCATGTGGGCCATGCAGGTTGTTGTTCTCACCGGCGGTGCATGGCACAAACCCTAGATATCCTCGATATCGTGCGGCATAGCATACTGCGATTGGGCTTGCAATGCTTGGCCATGATGATGTGAGGGTGTGTTGCAAGTGCCAGGCCGTCTGACATAACGGAGCCTCAGCAGGCAAGGTCTGGGAGCTGCGGACCGGTGCCTGATGTCCGAGTCAAGCAGCATTTGGCAGGGCCAACCAGAGTCCAGGGGCCTCGACGGGCAAGTCGGATCTGCAGCGGAGAGCGAGACCTGTGGTGAGAACGGTGTCGCCAGGACGCAGAGCAAACGCTTGCTATGCTCGCCATTTCCATGTTCGGCCTGCGGATCTATGGCATTCCCACCCAATGGAATCCAACAGAAAGCTCAGAGAGACTGTCCACAAGAGCCCTGCGGGTGTGTGAGCCCAGTGAGTGTCTTCAACAATCCTCAATGCTCCAACTGCAGGAGTCAAATCTCTGCGATTCGACACACAGCAGCTGTGATTGCTGGATTTGCAGATGGCGCCAGCAGACAAGCTTGGCATGCACCGCAAGCGTTCCGCTTCGTCGCGTTCATGGGAAACCCAGCCAGGTGCAATGGCCCAACTCCCAGGCGCATCGGCAGTGGTGCCGGCCATCCAGGCGCAGGAGGGTTCGGCATACTTCGCTTGGTTCCTCGGTGAGCAATGCATAACCTGGCAAGGCGGCTATGATCTTTGCCATCGCGCTCCAATATGGATGTCGCTTATGCCGCACTACTGGGTTGGACGCCGGGAACTCTCCTTGCATCGGGCAGCCCTGCGCGAGCTCTGCCTGCGTGCCTAAGCATCCCAACCATGCTTGATTGGCCAAGTGATGTGAGCAGTAAGCATCCCAGCACTGTTTTCCGGCTGGGCACGTCTCAGATGTCGCCCAATGAAACTTGAGTGTGTGGGCACGCACAGATCGAGGCTACCTGGACTTGGGCACGGCCTTGGCAGTGTCCACTTTCCTTGGCAGCGAGTATGCATGCTGGCCGCATGGGTAGGAGTCTAATCTCCGCCAAGTGATTTGCTCAGCAATGCAGGAGGCAAAAAGGGATGAGGTCGTGTCCGTCGTCATTTTGGTCGTCGCGTGGGCTGCTGCAGCGGCTGCCGCTTCTGCCTCTCCAAGATAGAATTTTACTTTTCCACCACCCTCCTGACTTCAACCTACTCCCCGCCCCCAACCTCCGTGAAAATCATACGTTAATTTTTCAGCAGTCGGCCGTGAAAGACAACATTTCATCCCCCCCCCCCCACCAACCCCGCCGCGGTGAAACATAGACTTTCATGTTTGCCCCCTTCCCCCCCCGCGAACCCACCGCAGTGAGAGATCAGAAGTTCATCTTCCAACCCGATCCGCATTTCGCACCAATGTCAACGGCGCCGATTGCTATCCTTGACTGCCTTGGTTCTTCTTGCCCAAACCCGCCAAAGTGCGCATTTCGGACTTGGTCGTGTCTATTGTCTGCTGCTGCGTTGAACATCCTGCTCGCTGTGACGAGCGAAAGGTGAAGATGTCTTTGGTGAGCCATGCCATCGGATGGATCCCCGTCGCGGGGAATCTAATAAAGAGGCTTGGCGTATACCATGCTTACCTGCGGACCTTACTAGCCAGCGGTGCTGGTCCGTCCAAGGACAGCTCTTTCAGTTGTGATGACCGAGGGCATCGGTACGGCAGCCGAGTCCCGGTGGAAGACCTGGGGCCCATGTGCGCCCTTTTTCGGTAATCGAACGTGTTCAGCCAAGGAGAAGATGCTCAGCTGCCCTGCTATGCGTGAGGATCTGCTCGACAAGGCGTATTTTTTGGGCCGTGCGAGAGATTTGCTTCAACGTTTAAAGTCCTAAGCCCCTCATATAGCAGTCCCTGGAAGGCAGCCCGCGAGGAGCCTTCTGAGACACTTGCAGAGGAGGGTCAAGTGCCTCGACTTGGACACCACGGAGAGGGCAATTGAAGCACCCTGGGTTCGCGAGGCCTCGCAAGTCAGAGAGTACTTCCACGTGATTTCGGAGTTCCTGTCTTCGAGCCGCATGCTTACACTGTGCAGACGTGAGAGTGTGAATGCCAGCTAGCAGCTGATCAGGCGAAGTCACCCCCTGGAGCAGTACCACTGCGGCTGCTCGGGAGGAGAGCGTGGGCCATGGCGGCCAAAGAGCGGGAAGTTCGGCCCTTCTGTGGGCAGGTGTGGCATCGAGTGGAGTCGATCTTCCGCAAGGAAGACCAGGCACCTTTTGGGGCGCCTAGCATATGGCGCACAGCGCGATCGCGAGATCCCTCGCGAGCTTTCCCCGAGGTGAAATTGCTGGCGAAGGTGCACGAGGCGAGGCTCTGAGGCTCTGAGGTCGGAGCGGTTCACGGTGTGATGTAGAGCGTCATACGCAGGCGCGGAATCCAGAGGACCTCGTGGCCTTGGCCCACAAGCCGCTTGTTCTTATTCTGCAAGCCGGTATGCTGGGGCTCGAAGTCGCATCCCACATCGCCATCCTGTTCCCAGCGTCTTTATGCAAGCCTGTGCTGATCCAGGTATAGCTGGAACCTCCAGGTGCTGGAGGCTGTGCGCCAGGAAGATTCGCGAAATGATTGGGTAACAAGGATGTGTAGAAGTTCTGTAGAAAAGGGCAGACTGTTCTTGCCGCGGCTCCGAGCGGATGTTCGACTCCAGGCCTCGCTGCTGGCTTTGCGAGATCGCTTTCCACATGAACTCGCCTGCACTGATGTGGACCGCTCACCGGGGCCCTTTGCGGCTAAAGCCCTGCAAAAACTGCGCAACGGTTTTTGGAGGATTCCTTGGCTCGACGGTTCTGGTCCTCGCAGGCAGACGGCGAGGTCAAAGCCGTGCCTCGGCGCAAAGCCCTGCTTGCTGACGAGTTGCAACTAGCTCTTTCATTTTTCCTACCGTCTCCAATTTGTGCCGCGTGATGACGGGCCCAGATGCCATGATGGCAACGAGTGTGTGATGTCATCTCACCTCGGAAGGGAAAGACGTGGAGGTCTCGTGAGTTCCCGTCAGGTCTCAGCCCCGCACCTGCTGCACTGCTGGTCCCGACTGCCGCTGCCCCGGCGCCGTGCCGCAGCGCTCTTGGCCGCCGAGCTGGTGGCCGAAGCCACGCGCATGGGAGGCTCGGGGGGCCACTGGGGGCCTGGTAGATGCCACATGGAATCGTGCGGTTCTTGCGCCTTCCCATGCTTCGCAATGGCCAGGCCACGCAGCCGTGCTGCCAAGGGCTTTGGAGGTTCTGAAGGAGGGAACGCGGCCTCAAGGAGGCGGACTTGCAAAAGCCAGGCTAAAGCATGTCCGTTCGTAACCCTATCTCTCGCTTGATCCGGATCGACTTGCCTTGCAGCCCCTATCACTCCAATCACTGGCTGATCCCATGAAAGGCACAGAGCTCTTGGAGGACTTCGGCTTGCCGACGTTTTTGGAGGCTTTGCTGAAGGCTCTGGTGCGCGGCGAGGCGGGCCGGTCACGAGAGTTGACACACATTTTAGGGTTTTGGGCTTTTGGGGTTTAGGGTTTTGGGGTTTATAGGGTTTAGGGGTTTAGGGAATTCCTTCGGGGGTCGCTGCGAGCAGTGAGCAGGGGTTGACGTGTCGGGACGCAATGCCGAGCGACGCCTTGCTGTGTTGCTGTTTGGAAGCCAAGTCGGAGGTGGGGGGGCACAGACTGGGGAATCGAAGCATCTCTATGCCCATTCGTAAGCCTTCCGCGAAAACTTCAGTTGCAGAAGCGCATTTGCGAGATTCTCGCTACGCAAGCTGAGCTTTGCAAGAGACTAAATAGCAAGAGCGCGAGGTACTAGTAGGGGACGGATTTTTAGCTGGCCGCGTAAGCGGCTGCCTAGCTCGCACCCCCTTCACCTTCTGCGATCGAAGGCCAGCGCCTGCGTGGTGCTTCGGCGGCTTCTTGGTGGCTTGCCAGCCGGCGGCCCAGCTGGGGACTCGGGCCAAAAGAAACCTCGAGCGCTGAAGTCGTCCGAGGCCCAGAAGTCCTCTCAGTGGCTGGCTCTGCGGCATCTGCAGTGCCTTGGATTTCACCCCATCTTCTTTCACTTTCTTTTGTTCTTCGCCCCAAAAACTGCTCAGTGCTTGGAGGCAGTTGGACTTGATGGACAACGTTGCTGGCGCAGCCGCTTGCCATTGCCGGCCATGGGGCCGTCGCGTTGGAGCTCATTTATAAAGTTCAAGGAGCTGTGGATTCGGTGAGTTGGGATCGAAGCCGTGTCCTTGCTCAGGAATCCTGCCTGCCATCGCTCCATGCCGACATCAAGAAGCTCTTGACGGCCGATGCCCTTCCAGAAGGCAGCAAGTGGAGCAATCCGATAGGAAGTGTATACAGAGAAGGGAGTCTATTGAGCGACGCGTGCGACGAGGTAAGGCGCGTTTTGTGACTAATGGTAGTCTGCTCCTGCAGGCACGGAGACTCCTCAGAGCATTGCGCTGGCTGCCACGGGCAAGGCAACCCTGAACAATGCTCATATGGTGTGGGGAGAGATTCCTGGGCGCACCCTCTATAGCGCCTCGTAAGGCCCGCGGCACATGCGGGCAGTCTTTAATGATGATGAACTCCTGCCATGCAGAATCTTCGGAGACTGACTGCTTCGCGTCTAAAACACCAGGGATGAACTGGATGGGGCAAGTATTCCAGACCCGTATACACGGCATGCTTTCATAGCGGGGGCACACACTCAATCTCAGCTAAAGGCACGTTTTCTTCCTTCGGAAAGGCTCGGCAAGTGCGCATCACAAACTACTGTGCTGCGAAAGACATGAAGTCTAGTTAATTAGTCGAAGTGGAGCTTAGGGACTTTTAGTGGAGGAACGGAAGGGATCGTTCCCGAAAGGTGCTGAAAACCAAAAGCAAGCAACTCGCGCTGTGCGATGCGGGACGTTGCATCCGTTCTATCGTCTCCGCGAGTTCGACTTCGCCGCTCTTGCCCACAGATGTCCACAGTTAGTCTTATAGATCTAATGTCGTGATCGCAGGTAGACCCTTTTGCCGCACTGGTGGGGCAGCAGTGCGCTGTCAGGAGGCTCGAAGTGTGGCAAAGGCTGCGCGTTTTCAAAGCCAAGCCTTATCTGCAGGCTGATGCAGTCTCCTGGGTATGTGCGGCTGCGCAAGAAAGGCATTCAGCGCAGCCCGGCCGTGCATAGTGCATATGGGCACGTCCAGCACTGTCAGTTGCAGCTCGAATCCTGCTTTGAGGTCCGGGTGTTCCCTTGGTGCTGCTCATGACGGGACCTTCAGGAACAGGTCCCTCCCCCTGGCCTGGGAAAACTCAAAGTCTTGCTTTTCGAGATGCGGCACCGAGGAAAGACGATGGCGGCCCGAACGATGGCTGAAGTCATCCATGGCCGGCCGATCCAGGAGCTGGAGGCCGACCTACTCGTAGCTTCGACACTGTGACTACAACTTTCTGGAGGGCAGCGGCGACAATGCGAATGCTAGAGACGAGCTAGGACTTATAATGTTTCGACATTCGGCGAGAATAATTCCACACGCACCATCACGGCACGCTACTTCTCCTCTCTTTGGTTTCCATTGGTGCTTTGGCAGGCATCGGGTCGCTTCAGGCTCTTCCCAATGCCTCTTGGCAGCAGAGCAGAGGCTCCCTTCAAAACTACTACGTTTGCTCTTCTTGTAGCTGTCTGTGTGTGCTGCTCCTGCGAGACATGTACAGAAACTTCCATCTAAAAGTTCTCCAGAGACGGAAGCCTGCCAAGTCCAAGGAATCAGTTCCGAAACTTGGCGCAGTGGATGGATGAGTGTACAGTGCATGAAGCCGTCGACGATAGTCCTTGGCGTGCGAATCATGCAGACAGTACAGAAAGCACCTGTGACAGGAATGCTCGAAGATCAGCAACTTGTTTGATTTAGTGGCTGCTGCGAGTTTATCAAGTTGTGAGTGCCACTGCTTCTGGGGCTGGTGCTACTTCTGCTGATATTGCTCTCGCTACTACTAGCCCTCTTGCTCTCATTATTGCTGTTGCTGCGACTACTACGTCAACAGCAGCAGCAACAGCAACTATACAAGCAAAGCTGCAACTTCCATAAGACCAGCAGCAACTTCCAACGACCGACGACGGGGATAGCGACAGCTACAGCAACCACAAGCAGACGAAGGGCCAGAAGCCATACAGTCTCGTTATGTTTTCCGTAGCCTCAACGCTCTCTCGTAACGTCCCGCCTTAAGCGGGTCTTTGGAGCCTGAGGAAAACGTTCTTTGGGCCGCCCCGTGGCATCCAGGGCTCTGGCGACCTCCCGGACCTTGTAGGGGTCCAAGGGTTCTGATGGGGAGAAAGGGCCCCCCAAGCAGTTGTGGGTGGGCCTCCCAGGTCAGACAGCACCCGGATGCAGTATCTTGGGCCGCATGAGGAGGCTGCGTTGCATCTACGTACCTTGTTTTGGTGCTGCAATTCCAGGTGATAGTACTTGATGAGATCGAGAAGGCCCATTCGGACTTCGCAAGGGCGTTGCTGACTGTCTTCGGCGAATATGGCTCCTCAGCTTTCTTGCCGTCGTGTGTTCCACAGTCTTCTTCCAAAGTTGGCGTATCTGGCTTGGCTTGCAATTCTGTCGGCTTCCAGCACGTAGCACGCATGGCAGCTGAGGAACCGTCTACGACCCCCGAACTGGACGGGACTATCCGGCGGCCAATGCAACCTGACCGGTATGAGTCCATTCACCAGCACGGACGGTTAAGACAGGCCAGTCCACGTCTAGAGCGTGATACTGCAGCAGCATGCAGCAACCATAGGCTACCTTCATCCTCACGAGCAACCTCGCGAAAGAGCTGATTCTCAAGCACCCGGTCTCGGACACATGGCTGCTAAAGCTCCCTCAAATTGTGACTTCGTCTTCTAGCATATGCCAGCAGAAAGCAGTAGCTCCAGGTTGCGAAGAGCCAGGGCCGTGCCGTGGAAACCTGGCAGAAGCAGCTCGGCGGTTTGCCTCGGTTTTGTGTTTTTTTTTGCTGCTTGGGAGCTCCGGGTTCTCCATGACATGCGCCCACTTTTATGCCGGAGGCTCCCTTTGGGTGCGGACAGCGACCCAGACTGTGCTGGCTACGTCAGTGGGCTGCACATAAGACGAAGTCGGCTGGAGGTAGAAGAGCTCCTCAGACGGTTTCTGCCGTCGTGCGTGGCTGAGGCAAAGCTTCGTGATGCCGTGGATGCGGAGCTGAGCCATCCCCCGGCCATCGACAGAGAGACTTGGGCAGAAGAGTGTGAGCGAGCATGCGTCACAAGATGTCACAAGCCTTAAGGAGCACGGCTTTTTTCGGGAGAGCGAGATCCGGGGCCGCCTGACGGACGTGCTGCCCTTCCTTCCCTTCAGCCCTGAGGAGGTGGAAAAAGCCGTCCGCGGCTTCCTGGCCTCCGAGTCCAAGGCCTTCTCACAGCACCCCAGCTTCCAGAACGTGGAGCTGGCCTGGAGTCCCGAGGCGCGGAGCAGCTCCACGGCTTTTAGGGTTTATAGGGGTTTATAGGGTCTTAAGGGTTTAAGGGCTTACAATAGGGTTTAGGGTTTAGCGACTCAGAATCTCTTCGAATCTCTGTTGGGGGGTGCGCTTGGGGGCCCCTTTTTGGGTATATGCGCTCTGTGCCTGGAGGTGGTTCGCTACTTCGCGAAGCTCTACATGAAAAAGCCCGACGAGGGGCTCCGCGCCGTGAACAAAGAGCTGCAGGCTCAGGCACCGCAGGGATTCGGAAGAAGCCCCCCCCTCCGCCGTTTTGCTGTAACGTCATAGAGGGTGTTGGCGTCCATTCTTGCCAACAAGCACGTCTAACCACTCCCTGCGCTCCCTGCGGACTTCAACACTCAGTTCTAAGTCGTCTCCTGCAGGTTTGTACAGGGGCGCAAACACAGAAGTCACCACTTAAGCTGCGAGGTGCGGGATTTGCTGGAGCGCTCCATCGAGGCCCGATACACGGCACCGCAGCGGCGCCGAGCTGAGCTCTGAAAAGCGCCAGGCCGGCCTGGTGGCGCGGGGCGCCATCGCCGCTCTTCGTTTGGATGAAGGCAATTGGGGCATTGGGGAGCTGCCCCCATATACAGGGTTCGATCGTTCGGCACATTCTTGGACTGGTCGAAGTCGTACAGGCAGCAAGGAGGCGCGCCTCGACTTGCGCGCCGTCCTCCGCGTCCGCGAGGCGCAGGGCGAGCAGCGAACTTCCAAAAGGACTTCGGCCCGGGGGCCTCGGCCTCGAGCCAGGCAGAACCAACACGAGCGACAGCGGAAGCAGAAATCCCGGTGAAAGCGGAGCCCAAAGACGAGGAGGGAAGCGTTCGTGTTTTGCAGGCCACTTGCGCTTGCAAAGCGTGCGACTCGTGCAGGTCTGCAGTCCAGCTCGCCAGTTTTCCAAACTGTGCCTTCCAGGAGACATCAGACAACTTCTTTTCTACGGTCACCGCCCTTCTGTCTGGTGACTGGATCAACGAATCCTCATGGAGCTGGACAAGCGCAGAGAAGTCCGGGCCCAGGTCATCTTACTGACTTGGGTCACAGATTTTGTCAGCTGAGGCCCGCGAGGAGTGGAACGGAGTGGGATTGGCAACACGACTGGGAGTGGCAGCCGGACTTGGAGTGGCATAGTGAGTGGGACTGGCAGCGTGTCTGGGAGCGCCTCTTCTTGAGCCCTGGTTTGCACAGATGATCTGCAGGGCTTCGAGATGACGTGTAATCCTTACGCCGACGCAGCGGTTCGTAGGCTTCGCTCTCGCGCCTGGCTGAGTCACTGAGGATCCTATGGGAGTGGCGCTTTCCACTCGTGGTCACAGCAACGCTGCTGATCGTCGTTGCATCCGCTGGAATGGCGGCACTCCCGATGCACTCAGCGCAGGGAACAACTATGACTCTATGCAATATTCGCCAAGACGCAGCTTGTTCCGTCTTCCCAGGCACCAGTGGCCGCCCCTGCCGCCACGGTTTCTGTAGGCGCAGCCGCAGCCCCCGTGTTTGGTGCCGCTGGTGGCTCGGCGGCGGTGGGCGCGACCGCCGCTGCTGTAAGCTCCTGGATGTTGGCGCTGATCCAGGCAAGTGAGCGGCAGTCGGAAAATGAAGTTTTGGGAAGGCGCTGACCCTGAAGGTGACGGGCAGCTCGGCTTCTGTCGCCGTTCCCGGTCTGACGTTCTACTATGCCTGGAAGCAGCTCGGTTAAATCGCTCCAGGAATCGGCGTGTTGGAACCCAATGTAACCGGAAAGCTTGCACGGCCAGGCAGCAAGTCGTATCTTTTTGCTCGTAGCCCAATGAATCAAACCAACAATGACAACAGAGCTTAGGGCCTTAGGGTTGGGATATCCTTTCTCAGGAATCGCCACTATGTCGAAGCTGTGCCTTGGCATTGCCTTGGCTTTGGCTTTGGAGCTTGGGATGTGTGGAGTTCCGTCGTCTCGGAGTGGAGACTTTGCATCCGAGTTCTGAGGCTATTTTTGGCGCTTTGTCCCTGGCGCTTTGCCCATATGCATGGCGGGTCTACTGTGCAGCCTCGAGCCTCGCCAAGCAGGCAGCTGAGGGGAACAATTGAGCTGCTTTGCATACCCGGATGCCTTGTGTGCAGATGGCACCAAAGCCGCCGAAGCCGCTTTCTTCGAAAGCTCCGCAGAAGATCCGAGGCACCGCTTGTATCTTCAATTCAGCTCGACAGCCCCAAGCTTTTCCTTTGTCAGATCCCAGGAGCGAAGACGAAGCTCCCCAGAGGAGACTTCAAGCTGAAGCTGACCGACTCCGACCCTCAGGCCTACACGAAAGACTGTCGTTTGCCATTATCAGACCCTGGATCGTAGGTATGCCCTAGCCAGGCGGGAGGCAAAAACACATCGAAAGACTTCTTGTGATCTTGATGTGTGAATTTGTCAGCGGGGTCCATGGAGGGCTTAGAAGTGTAGACTTGTCGTGAGAGTCGAGAGTTCTTGGCCGCAGGCACATCCCATCGAATTCGCGTCTCCCCTTGAAGCAGGCGGCCACTGCCGGGCGTGCAAGGGAGCGATGCGGTGATGGGGCGTGTGGGCCGGCAGGTGCCGTCGGACAAGGCAGCGCTGCGACCTCCGAGGAGAAGGGCGAGACTGAGCCCACCGGCGCTGACGCTGTCCAGGGAGGAGGCCGCAAGTGGCTTCAGGGATCTTGGACTGGCAGTGCGGCTAACGTCCTATCCCTTCCGCGACGCTGGACCTGTGACATGCATGAATGTGCTCAGCGCTTCCTTGCTCAGGAGCGAGGGAAGCTTCGCAAAGCCCTGCAAGGCCCGCGGTGACAGGTGCCATGGTCTGCATCCCATGCTCGGGACTCTCCCGGGGTTTTTGTTTTGTGTCAATACTATAACCGAGGCGCTAGCGCTGCCAGCTGTCAGAGTCCCGAGCAGCCCGGCTTGGGATCGCCTTGAGGGCACATGGGCCTTACTGCGCTGCCCTGGAAGCAGCCTCATTATAGCCGCGCAGGAACGCAGAGCTTTGTGCCAGTCTTTGGCAGTGCGGCTGCACGTGCAATGCAGCGTTCGTCTCTCTCTCTCTCTCTCTCGATGCCTCCTTGTGACAGGGTCAAACCTCGTCTCTGAGTCCTGTGGTAGAATCCTCTCTGAGAATCCTCATCTCTGTGTGTTCCTCCAGACATAGCAATGTAGCTGCACCTGTGCCAGCTCCCGCGCCCAGTTCGCTGGATCTCCTGCACTGAGGCCCCCAGCTGGCTCCGAGTGCACGGAGAAGCAAGAGGAATCGCGAGACACAGGGGAGGAAGAGCAGCAAGATGAGGAGGAAGAAGACGCACAGGAGCAGGAAGAGGATGACTAGAGACAGCTCTGGCCGCTTTCTCAGCTACGTTTCAAGCCAGCTGTCCGCCTTGTCGCTGTGCCGATGCTACTCGGCTACATATTTCGAAGCGGTGGCTTCTCTGCTCAGGACCTGGCTCCTGCTGTGTACAGGTGCCAAGAGACATGTCGGGTGCCTGACGGAAGCGGAAGCGACGAGTTGCGCAGGTGCAGGAGCTGCGTCTCGAATTTCCCTTGGGCTGTCGAGGCACCTTCTGGAATTTCGTCCGGGAATCGGGCATGCATGCAGTACAAAAGGAGTTTTGTTGCTCTAGAACTTATGGCGGCTCATGTGCAATCCCGGCTCTTGGCTTGGAGCTGCTCTCTGAGCAGGTCGATCGGCCTGTGGACAGCCTGGAGCTGCATGGAGGGAGCTTTAAGTGTTTACATGCAATGCTGACCTTTCAGCATACTGTAGCTAGGAGGTCTCTCGTTTGGAGGAGCCGGAGAAAAAATGCCCCGAACATCCCTTCCTCGCATGCCGCTAGCTGCCTTGTGCAAGCGGCGATTGCTTCGGTGAAGACTGCCTAGCATGCAGCCTCTGTGTGTCTATGGCCAATGGCTCATTTCTCCAGTTGCTCCTAGCTATACTCGAACAAGATCAAGAGAATCTGCCAAGATACCGCCTCTAGGCGCTATAGTCCCTTCTATATGATCTTACTGAAGTGTTGCTTACTGAAATCCTGCAGCTCACTCCTGGCGACTTGAGCCGCCTGCACGCGAGTCCACGCAAGCCGCCCTGGCAGCAACAAGGCCAAGATGTCGCAAGGACTTTCCACGAGACCCATTGTCCGACGGAAGAGCATGATCGCCGAGAAAACGAAGTTGCACCCGACGCAGGTTTTGCGGAACACTCGACAAAGGCTGCCAATGCTTACGTACCTCGATGGCATGGCTGGCTGTACTGCCCACTACACCAACCATATAGTGATGCGTGAGCTGACTGGCAGGTGGCCATATGCAGCGCATGGACTTCAAGACCAGGTTTGGCACAAGCGAGTCTGGGCTCACGAACTCGTTGAAGTTGTGGGATGTCCTCCTGCTGATGTGGAGCCTCGGAGGCTGACATGACTCAGGCGGAGCAACCCTTAATCCACTGGTAGCAAAAGTCTTGGACATGGACAGAGAACCAGGACTTGGGTGACAAGTGGCTTTGATGAAGTACAATGCTTCCTTGCTCTGCAGTGCGGAGAATATGAGGCGGAGCTTCGTTGCACATAAGGTGCTCCGCTTTGGTGCTTGGGGCTCTCTTTGTCTCGAGGACTATCGCGTCGGCCTCCTGGCCACGCATTGTTTCCGAGCGTGGCTCGCCGAGCAGCGAGAAAAAGCGACCTATAGCTGTCTTTCCATCCGCGTCCGTCTTTGAGGACGAGGTACAAACAGTTTGGCTGCTCGAGGAGGTCCAGGCCGGCAACAATGCGGAGTCGAAAGGTGGCGAAGCTGAGCTCCTTTTGCTTCCAGGTGAAGGTGCGATTGAAGCTAGAGGCAACCCGCTCCGTAGAAACCATGAAGTCCTAACTTCAGTGAGCTGGTAGGCCCTGCTTGCTTGGAACGGAGGTTAGCCTGAATCCATTGAAGAAGGAGGAGGAAGGCCTGCCGGCACTGCTTGACCTTAAGCCTCAAATTGCAGCTTGTCTGTGAAGTGTCATAGCGAGTGCCTGACCCGGCGTCGAGCCCTTCGGGGAAGCGACGCGGGACTGCACCCTGACACTCTCTCACAGAAGGCTGCAGTCTGAAAGCTTACTGTCACGTTGGGCTACTTGTCTTGCTTTCTTGTCTTTGCTATCGCGACAGTGTGCCCAGGGTTCCCGGCAGCATCCAGCGCACCACCCCAATTTCCCACTATCATCCTCATGAAGGTTCTCCCAAGGAGCGTCTAAGTTTCAGGGTTTTCGAGGTTGGTTTCGGTGCCCTTCGAGTACGCCCGAGTGTAGCTCGTGTCCGCCTGAGTATTCCCGAGTACCAACAAAATGTATAGCGGTTGTCAGAAAGTATAGATCATAGTACTCTCGAACTTGCCACATATATGTCAGATGAAGTAATTAATGTACATACATACATACATACATACATACATACATACATACGCACATCCATCCATCCATCCATCCATCCATCCATCCATCCATGCATACATGCATGCATACATGCATATGTACACACGCGCACATGCATGCATGCATGCATGCATGCATGCATCCATCCATCCATCCATCCATCCATGCGTGCATGCATACATGCACACACACATGTATATATCTATAAATCTATATACACAACATACAAGAAATAACATGGCACAACACTTTACATAGTTTATATGTTAGCCATATTTAGAGCATAGTATATAATGTGTCTATGCATACGATATAAGACATACTATACATAATAACATGTTTAATAGATTATATATAGTACATAGCACAGAACATAGATCACATAACATACAAATCATCATATACAATATACCATTCGTAATATATAGTATGTAGTATAGAACATACAGTGTATAATGTATAGTGTATGATATCACACATGGTTAACACTTAGGTGCTTTATATTTATATGGTGTGTCATATTATATTTAGTAAGCAGCGCACCAACTGACATACCGTATGATATAGCTGCTAAGAGTCATCATTGTATTTGTTATAATACTGTTCATTGAGCAAAAAACAAAGATGAAATTAAGCGCAAAACTCATGACTTCTTTCAATACCTGTTCTTTCAATACATAGACGGTTTATATTTCCGGTTACGAAAGCTGAATATCAAACAAATCTATTTTCTAAGAATGTTTGCGTGAAATAATTTTGTGTACTAGATAGTGGCTGGCCATCGCATGGAAAGTATGTATTTTTGCAAGTTCAAGAAACATACCCTGCACTGTCCCCATTTCCTTTAACTCCTACACTAGCCACCAGGCCTCTATGTAATATTGATAACCATAACGCTGGAGACGGATCATATTATTCTTTGTCTACTCTCTCGAGCTTTGCCCGAGACCCTCTGAGCGCAAGAAGCGGCGCGTGGGAAACCAGCGGCTCCGCCCGTGATGATGGAAAAAACAAAACTACAAAAGCCAAAAACACGCATTGCAAAAAGAAAGCAAAGAATGCCAAAATAGCTAAACTAACAATATTTAGAAACTCTTGGAAACCTAGCCACCTCTTTGCAAGATTTACCAGATATTGTTGTCTTTTTTTGGTTTGCATTTTTTGTTGTTTGGGTTTATTATTATTTTTTTTTGTTTCGGCGTGCTGGTTTAATGGTAGAGGGCTGCATTTGTGATTTGTGACTTGTGTTTTGGCTCACTTGTGACCCTCCCTCCCCCCTCCCTCCCTCCCTTCCCTGCCCTCTCCCTCCCTCCCTTGCTCCCTCCCTCCCTCTGAGATGTAACCTGGGTGTATCCCCTCGCGAGGCGTACAAGAACACAGGCAACGCAGCTGTCTCCTTTTGCTACAGGCGCACAGCTGTAGTCTTGGTACTCTGCTATGCTAGAACCTTGAGCACAGACATGGATACATGCAAGTGATACGTGAGACGGACAGAGCTCGGATGTGTAACATCGGTGTTTCAACCAGGCACAAGTTTAAAATACGTATCTTCATGGCCGTGAAGCCGGCATTCAACATTGTCTGTTTTGCTCAAGGGAATGACAACAGCGGAGTAACATGAGCTACAAAGGTGACGTGAGAAAGATACATTTGTACATCTCTTGCCTGGAGACAGCTGGTTAGTAAGCAGAACATGCACAAAAGCAACGGATCTTCGGTTCAAAACTCAACTGAACAAGATTGCCCACTTGTTCAGCTACCTCCCAGAAAGGGAAGCTTACTGCGCAGAAAGATGAAAGCATAGCCCCACTGGATGCCAGCTATGGTATATTGCGGCACCAGAGAATCGTGTGATTCTTTATGAGTATCTTCTCCAGTGAGAAGTATCTCATTTGCTCTTGGGCTAATATTTAACAGAAGTACCTCTCCCAGTGAAGAGCATCTTCTTCCTGAAATGGTAAAGGGCTGACAGAAGGATACCTTTTCCTGAGAAAAGCGTTCCTGTGAAAATTGACAACACTTAGTCAACGTACTCGACGTTGTCCATCCAATTGTCGTCCCCGTCACAGTGACGATCCCGTGAATCACCATCCCATTGATGAGTGTGATTCTCCCCATGTCTGAAAACAACAGGCGTTGTACACGAGCATGGGGTTCGGGTCGTCGAGGAGGAGGACGCATTGGCTCACGGAGCGAAGAAGAAGACGCTGAGTCTGACTCTCTTGAGAAAAAGGGCTGATCTTCCAACCAGTGGTCATCCTCATCCCCGTGACGGTCCCTTGTGTCGCCATTCCATTGGCAATTGTTGTCATCGAAAATAACCGTTGGTTGATCTCGAGAACAAGGATTTGGTCTTGTCAAGGCAGGACGAATTGGAGAACGTCTCGGTGAAGGAGACTGTTCAGGTTCCGAGTCGGCATCAATCACCTCAGCATCATGATCCCAGTTGCGGTTTCGAGTCCCATCGCCACTCCAACGATAAGTATCATCCCTGTGGACGAAAAGAGGTTAAAGACGAGCAAAAGGATCGGGCCGAACAGGGGAAGGCCGAGGTGCTGGTCTGTAGACCTGTTGTTCCGACCCGGAGTCAGAATCTAGTCAGTGTTTTCCTTTGCTTTGCCTTTGTCTTTGCCCTTGGAGGACTTGCCTCCTTTGAAGGTTGTGGAGAAGCAGAAAGCAAAACGGACACAGAAATGGAAGATTGAATATGCCTTGCTGCCAAAGTGAGCATCATAATGATATCCTTGCAGGCCCGACCCGACGACTCTCGAGCTGCCCGCAACGCACTCCCCAGAGTGATGCCGTCGAAGACGAGACTGATTGGTGACCGAAGACCAAGACCAAGGAGAGGGCGATCAAGTGCCTCACCTAGGCTCTTGCTTCACTAACCCATGAAATTAAGAATATGTATGTTGTCTTTAAACTGAAAAGAAAACTGAACCAGGTGTCTCCACCAAGCATCTGTCCAGGCATTCAGCGTATCTTCCGGCGAGATGTTCGACGAACTGTAAGAATTCAGGGGAGCCATATTTATCTCCCGTATTCACCTTGTTTAAGGTGAGCCTACACAAACAATGTGTGTAGGACCCAGAGCCCGCGCAGGCCTTGTGTGAAGCATATGGGCGCGTGTGCCGTGGATTCCTCTTGAAAAATGCGTGATCTAGCTTGCGAGCATGCAATGCAATTACTGGAATTCCCCTTGTCAGTAACAGGTACCCTTTAACAAAGGCATGCCAAGGCTCCAGCACCGGACCAGAGATGCTTGGAAGGTTTCCGCCAACTCAGGATAAGGATCATCAAAGAGGACGGCGAACTCTTGCTCCTCCCCAGGCTCATGAGCTGTGACAAGCCAATCTCCCTCCTGTTCTTCGAGGACGATGCTTGTCTGCTATTTGCAACTTTGTGTTTGCGTGTCTTGGTGTGCGGGTCGTGTTGTTTGTACCGTGGCCTGCGGCTGCTTGGTTTCCACGCCTGACCACACGGTCAACAAGCGGAAATATCAGTACGCGCCAGCCTGCTGCCAGCTATTTGCTTTGCCCTTGCAATGTTCTTACACAAGTTCTCATCCAGAAGTTGTGAGTGAACGCCTCTGTATTTAGCCAATTTAGCCTTGCAGCCCGCAAGGTTGAGCGAGATGTCGGGCACTATGAT